TCAGGGCAGGGTTTCCCGATGCAGACTCTAAGAGATGAGCATGCAGGGGGTTATGAGGGAGGACCCTTGGGGCCAACGCCTGTGGGAGGGAAGGCAAAGAGCAGGAGTGACAGAGAAGTCAAGCCTCAGGGTAGCTCAGGGGAGGCCTCAGCCAACACTATGTGAGATTCTCCGATTGGGGCTGCGGGTAAAGTCTTCGCCCTCTCTGTGCACCTGTTTCTGGATGCCAGCCACCCTGGGAAAGGACGTGACCTCGGATCAGCAGTTTTCTCCAGCCAAGTCAATGCCCAAAGCTGGGGGAATACATTTTTCATGTCCCTTGAAACAGCAAGGATTGACCGGCTCCCGGCACAGTGTGTAACTTAATCAAGGGCTGTGTGTAACTTAATACAGAGACGAAGCATAATTTTGAAAGGCATTTGGAGGTCAGAGGAGCCTAGCTAAAGAAACTAAGATCTCCTCTCAGGACCCCATGCTTTTTCTTACCACAAATCATCTGATGCGAAGTGGAGATATACACTTCAAAGGGTCAGGTTTCCTATACACAATCCATTGTCACATGGGAAGAATTAGCCTATGGCTGTTCAGGTGTTTAGCCAGTAGGAGGCAATAACATGTAGATTAAGATGCCCTTTAACTGTCTGGCAGCCACAATCAGTTACCTATTCAGGTTTGGGGAAATGCCGTTAGCCATTCCCAACCGGTGACTACATGTGTGACTCAACCCTGTTGAGTCCCCAAGTCTCATCAACCTTTTGATGAAACTTAAAATTATGACATGCTGGAATTGGTCTACGGCATTGGGGCTGCGGGTAAAGTCTTCGCCCCTCTGTGTGCACCTGTCTGTGGATGCCAGCCACCCTGGGATAGGAAGTGACCTCGGATCAGCAGTTTTCTCCAGCCAAGGCAATGCCCAAAGCTGGGGGAATACATTTTTCATACCAAAGGGAGAGCTGGACAGAACATGCCAGCATCCCCCATACCAACCTAACAACTATATACAGATTGTTACTGGAGTCGAGACAAGGGCTCAACGCCACCATTATCCATGATGCTCAGAATCCGCTCAATCCAGTGTCTAATGTTATCACCGTCATTGTACAGAGAGAGAAAAAGGCCTGGAGGAAGTGTGTGGCCAGGGCACTAATCCAGACCCCTGCCGTGACCAGTGACTAGGCAGATACTGATCATGAGTGACGGGCCGTGGTAGGGCCTGCGGCAGCCTGGAGGCCTGGCCCTGCGGAAAGCCTGCAGGGGGCTCCAGCTCACTGTGCGGCCACTCTTGCCAGGCCTCTGGTTTCACAAGAAAAGCCAGAAAGCCCAGTTTTTATAAGACATTAATTAGCAGTCAATTTGGCTTGCTTAAAACCCTGTGCTGGTCACTGCTTGGCTGGCCACTGTGGCCTGTGGGCTGCCAGCTTGTGGCCTCTGTGTTAGACCCCGCAGGATTCCCAGTCTCTTCTTTGGGCTCTGAGAGTCAACAGCTTTGCTCATGTGAAGGTCAAGTTCCAGTCTTAGCTTTAGAAGGGGTGGTAACTAATTCATAAATTCATTCATTCATTCATTCATTCACGCACTCATTCATCCATCCACCCTACACTTTCATGGTACCTGTACCATGCCGAGTCCTGCCCAGGGTGCTGAGCTGAGTGAGATGGCTCTTTCTCTTTGGGGAGTTCAGAACCCAGAGGAACAACAGGTATAAATAACTACAGCACAAGGTCAAAGCGCAGTGACAAAGTGTGCAAGATGCTGCAGAAGCATCAAGGGTGGTGGGATTGGCTCTGCCTGAGGGTTGAGGAAGCTTCAGGCAGGAGATGGCTTCTGGGCTGAGCCTCAAGGCACAAGAGGGAATTCATCAGATGAGGAAGAGAGGGAAGGCACTGAGATCAGGAGCCATTGCGTGTACCAGGCACAGACCTGGGGAGAGCTGGCGACGTCCTGGGCCTGGAGCACAAGGTGCAGGTGGGTGGAGGCAGTGGTGGAAGTTCAGGCCGAGGAGGAACTTGATCATGAAGGCTTTGCACGCCAGGCCCTGGAGTTTATTCCCTGATGTGCGGATTGTCCACCGAGGAGTGACAATCCTCTCCTTCATCTCCCGCAGCAGCCTCTTAGCAGGATGCCTGCCCCCAGTTTCCACTGGATCAGACTCATCCTGAACACCACTGTCAGACTATGTTGCCCCCCACACTGATTTGCTTTTGCCCTATCAGGCAGGAAAGCTGGCTGCCTATTTTCTAATGCATGAGTAAGCCCTGTTCCTGTCTAGTTTTTAAGAGTTTTTAAGACCCTCCTCACTCTCCAGTATACTCCCAACTGCTCTGCAATTGAACCCTTCACCCTGGTCAGACCTGTCTCCTTATCGATCATGTCCCTCGCGTGCCATGTGCATTCTCACCTCCAGCTGGACTTGCATTTTAGAACGTCCCTCCCAGCTGCAGCAGGGGGGTGGGGTGGGGCGGGAGAGGAGGAACTGAAGTGAGTGTGTGATCAGCTAAGAGATGGTGAGGCTGGCCTCTGGGGGCGCAGGCAGGGATATCAGGAGGCAAAGGGCCGGGCTTGGCTGTCCTACAGTCACCACTCCTGGCACCGGGAGGAGCGGATGAGTCCGGGTGAGGGTTCAGCGCTCTCGGGGTTCTCTTGCCCAGGTGAACACCCACGGAGACAGCGCCCTCACATTTCTCAGCCAGAGCCTGGAGTACTCGAAGAATGCCCGGGCCTCCCTCCGCAAGTCCTCGGTCGTGTTCATAGGTAACCTGCCCTGGCTCCTGGGGCTCTGCACAGTCTCCAGCCCTTTTGGCGCCTGGGTGGGTGCCTCCCTTGGGTTTGAGCGTTGGCCAGGAGATAGTCATGGTGCAAATTAGAGAAGTCTACTCTCCTCTAAGATCAGTGCCTGGGACGTGACCATAGGCTGCACGCAGCCTGGGGTCCTCGTGCAGGCCGCAGTCTTGGCTCCTGTGCCCGGCAGAGCTGCTGCTTCCCACCTGGGTCGAGGCCCAGCAGGAGGGCCACGCGGCACAGTGGGACGGGGAAGTCAAAGCTCAGCTCCTTGATCCCCTTTCTGAGCTCGGTGTTCTCATCTGTGAGTTGGGGATAACCTGCTGTTTCAGATGGAGGAGAATTTCTTTAATGTGAAGCCTGGCTCGTCGAGGTGCTCACTCAACGTTAGTCACCATCATTCTCCTATTTCCCACATTCCCCACCTCTGCCTGTGTGGGGAAGACAAATAGCAGGTTCCCCTCACCCCACAGGACCCTGCTGCTGACACGCTGGGCATGTCTCCTCCCAGCTAGTCCCCTGCCCGCCCCCCAATAACCACCCACCCTTTGCCAAGGACCAGGCCCTGCTGCCAAGAGGTGTGGAGAGGACGATGCTCCCACCCCACACCCTGTAAAGCGATGTTTCCCTGAGTTCCCTCATTCCATTCGCAGTTTTGCATCCACCCACTCAGCCACGAATCCCTTCTGCAGTTTGTTTAGCAAATGGTGGCTGACCCTCTACTCTGTGTCAGTCACGAGGCTTAGGTGCAGTGGTTCTCAACCTTCTGGCCCTTTAAATACATTTCCTCATGTTGTGACCCAACCATAAAATTATTTTCGCTGCTACTTCATAACTGTAATGTTGCTACTGTTATGAATCGTAATGTAAATATCTGATATGCATGATGGTCTTGGGCGACCCCTGTGAAAGGGTTGTTCGACCGCCAAAGGGGTCGCGACCCACAGGTTGAGAACCGCTGGTTTAGAGACACAAAGAAGCCTCAGGAGGTGATGCTGATGGCGGAGGGCTGGTAAAGTGATCGGTGATGGGATAGAGGAGCTATGCCCGGGGCTGGGGGAGCCCTCAAATGTTTCTCACATGGAGTGACATTAATTCCTAAACGAAACAAAGAAGCCTCAGGAGGAGGGCTGGTAAAGTGATCAGCAATGAGATAGAGGAGCCATGCCCCGGACTGGGGGAGCCCTCAGATGTTTCTCACATGGAGTGACATTAATTCCTAAACCAAACCAGTCAGGGCCAAATTGATCACTTTTTAGAATGTTGGTGTCTAACTCCTGGGCATCTCCTCTGCTCCAGGGCCTGTGCTGGGAACAAGGCCGCAAGCAGCACCCGCCCCTGCCCGCAGACAGTCCCCAGCGGGGGAAATGTTGGTGTCTAACTCCTGGGTGTCTCCTCTGCGCCAGGGCCTGTGCTGGGAACGAGGCCGTGAGCAGCGCCCGCCCCTGCCCGCAGACAGTCCCCAGCGGGGGCAGCGATCCCAGCCTCGGGGTGACCAATCTTTGGGGAGACCCTGAAAGAAGTCATGAGCACTTTCTCTAGGAAGAGGCACACACGCACACAGTTGTGCACATGCTTTAGGATCCTCAGAAACTGCCCCCCTCCTCCCCTCCCCCGGGGAGTGAAGAGACCCCTGGTCTGGCGGGACATCCGTAAGTCACATGTGAAGTACAACACGGTGTCTACAGAGAGAGACACTCAGGGGCTGTGGGAACCCCGAGAGGGGCTTCCCTTTGCCTGTGGGCAGGGGCAGGAAGGACTTCCTAGGGGAGCAACTCTGTTGAGCTGAATATTCAAGGACAAACAGGAATTAGCCAGAAGGACCATGGAGTCACCGAGACGCAGGACAGCACCCCATTCTGGGGGAGTTTGTTGTGTAGGAAGGGCCTTCCGAGAGGTACAGGCCATGCAAGGACCTGTTGGCATTTGGGGAGCCAGGCATGCAGCTGGGGGCAGGGGAGAGGGAACACCATGGCTGAGGAGCTGGGTCTCCGCCCCTCCAGGGGCCCTGCCAACTGCCTGCCTGGAAGGGATGCCAGGCACGCAGCGTCTTTCATGTTATTGTGGCTCCTACGCCCTAAACAAGGGGCAGCTGAGGCAGCACCTCCCCGAGTCTCAGGTGAGGACAGTGAGGGCCAGTCTGACTCAGGGGCCACCTGGGGCTGCCCTTCAGCATTGGCTACAGCCCACATCCTGCCCCTGTCCCGATGCCATCCCCGCCCTGCGAGCCTGCCGCCTCTCCCAGGGCCCCTCTTGGGGACTCTGTCCAGGTTCAAAATGAAGTTCGCCTTTGTGTCCTCGTTTGTGGGGCTGGAGAAGAGTGGGAAGAGCTTCTCTGAGGAGGTCTGGTCCGAGGGAGGGACGGGGGCAGGTCCGAGTTAGGAGGTGGGTTGCTCACCTCTTGCTTGCATTATACCCAAGGGTCCCTGGTCCCCTTCATGGATAGCATAATGACGGAAGAGCATCTGAATGAAGTTAAAGCCGGTAAGTTGTGCCCAGTGTTGGTGAGGTTTCAGGGGCCAGTGAGAGAATGAGGAGGCTCACAATGCATCAGAGGAAAGGGAGGGGATGGTCCCAAGGCAAGAGTCCTCAGCTCAGTTCAGCTGTGTTAGTCTTCATGCACGCGAGTACATGTTAGGTCACCAAGACACCACCCCATCCTAGGGGAGCTTATCGTCTAGGAACCCAGGCTCAGAAAGCCAGGCGAAAACCCACTTAGCTCAGGGCAAGCAGTTCAACTCTTAAGGGGGGAAGATTACTTTTGTAACTGGGAAAGCAGATGGGAGAGCTGAAGGGAGGCTGGGGCAGTCCAAGAAGGCTTCCTGGAGGAGGCACTTCAGCCTTTGAAGTGTAAACAATTTGAGGAGCTGGGAGACAGGTAAGATGAGGGGAGGCTGAGCCGAAAGTACCTAAGCCAAGGCGTGGAAGTGAGAAGGAAGGATGAGGTGTGAGAACCGTGTGGGCACCTCTTAACAAGTGGCCTCTTTCCTTCCCGTGACTCAGCTCTGGAAAAGTTGAGACACGACCCGGAAGCATCGGTGTGCATCTGTGCGGCCCAAGCCCAGGACAACATCCTGGCCAGCTGCTGGCAGACCTCCTGGCCAATGCCACATGCGGACCCGTGGGTGTGCGACCCGGCTGCCACGCACCGCTGGAGCGCCAGCTGCGAGAACCTGCCCACATTCCACCAGCCTCGCTCCTGGATCATGCAGGCCCTCGGCTCCTGGACGACGTCCTTGAGGCAGTGATGTCCCTGAGCCCCAGCCCTCCGCAGGGCTGGCCCTGGCCCCGGCCCCAGCCATGCTCACTATAAATGCCAAGTGGCTGACCTCTCGCCCCCGAGTGTTTCCTTGTGGGAGATGCCCCGGGGTCTGGAGCAGTCATTACTCTGCACAGTGAATCTGTGAGAGGAGCCTGGCCTTCCTCGTTGACTCGGTCAACATTTACAGATCACGTAGGCTGTTTGTCCACATGTTATAAGTGGGGAAGCTGAGCTCAGAGAGGTGAAGTGGCTTCCTCAAGGCCACACAGTAAATGTGCTGGGTGTTTCAGTTTCCCTTCCCCCACTGGGAGAGCTTAAGTACGAAAGGAGATGAGGACATGGGTATTTTTTGAGGGAGGAAAAGAAGAGCCTCCTCCCACCTCGTGACATCATGCACAACCCAGAACCCTAATCTCCGAGACCCACCCTTGGGTCTTTACCCAGAGCTTGGTCACCATTCATTAGGGCAGCATTTACTAGAATTGAGCAGCTAACCTAGGCCATGCCTGCTCTGGGTATCAGGGATACAGACCCAGCCCAGCCCCGGGGCAGTCTGTGGTCTGATGCGGTGGTTCCCCACAGCAGGGCCATTTTTGAGCCCCAGGGAATATTTGGTAGTATCTTGAGACATTTTTGGTTTCTACAGTTGGGGAAGGAGATGCTATTGGTATCGTGGGTGGAGGCCAGGGATGCTGCTAAACATCCTCCAATGCACAGGAAAGCCCCCACGGGGAAGAATTATTCATCCCAAGTTGTCAAAAGTGCTGGGGTTGAGAAGCTTTGGTCTAACGGAAGTATAAGAGACATACAGCCACCCATAGCCCAGCAGGTGGTGACGGGAAGCGTGGAGCTGTGAGGTCCAGAGGAGATATATAGACCAGTTTGGGGTTGGGGTGTCAGGGAAGGCTTCCCAGAGACAACGCCCCCTCCAGGGGGGTTGGAAAGATGCCTGTATGGTAGATGCATATGGAGAGCAGGGCACATAGGGCCAAGGCCCAAGGGCAGATACATAGGTGCAGCAAAACCCAGTGGCGGGAAGAGGAGGGCAAGGGTTGGTCACTGTGGCCTTGGAGGCAGACCTCACCAGGAGAGCAGTGGGAAGGTGTGATGGGGAGGCGAGAGGCAAGCAGGGGAGACACGGAGATTTCTGCTTTGGAAAGCTCCCTCCTCCTGGGGATACAGGCATCCCCAGGCACTGCTGGTGGGAGGGAGATGAGTGCAGCCACTCGGAACAGGAATCTGTCTGTCTTCCGTCATGTTGTTTATACCCACGACCCTGAATGTGCCACACTTAGCACAGCCAGGGGTGAACCTGAGGGGGATGAAGGATTAAAGAACACAGACAAGGCAATAAAGCTGGTACGGGGTGGGACACTGGTCTTGGAGGGAGAAACAGTGCCACAGCCTGCAAGCCGAGTCTTTATTTTATAGCCAGATTCCAGGAGGCAAAGTAAGGGCGTGGTCAACATGTTTACAATGTTCTCGCGGGTTTCAAGTCTACTTAATTACATGCACCTAAACTCAATCAAGCTTTGTTTTGGCAGCACCTGCTGCACCTCCCGCAGCCCACATCACTGAGCCACCTGGGACCACAGGTTCGGACCATAAGGTCAAGCTTACAATTATAGCCTTTGGCTATAATTGTGCTGGGAGGGCTTTGCCCTCCAAGCTGGGACTTGCACGTGGCTTTGCTACAAAAGCACTGTGCCCTCTCATTAGTCCGAGGCTTGAACCTGTCCAAACGCTGTAGCTGCTCTCCACACCTGAAATTCTATGTGGGCACACCTCTCAGGGAACTCCTCCCACAGGTCCATAAGGAGCAATGGGTAAGGGAGATGATCACAGTGCTCTCTGTGGTGCCTGTGAGAGGAGGACCTGGCTCTCCATCCTCAGGGAGTGAATGGGCGCCATGGAGTCGAGTCCCACAAAGCAGAGGTGGTGGGGGTACCACGGGCAGGACCTAAAACCCAGTGCTGAGTGAAAAAAGCATATTAAAAATGCATGCACAAGCGTTGCATTTTGCAAGAACACATACAAGCTGAAAATACACATTATAACACTTCAGAGTGGTGGGAGGGGCTGAGGCAGGCTCTGGGGCATAAAAGGGAATAATGGGAAAAAGGAGTGGCAGAAAGCTCACATTAAGTGGAACGAAAGGGCGGGCAGGGGGTCGGGGGAGTTGTGTGGACAAGAGCACAGGCAGGGAGACCTGGCCGGAGGCTTCGGAGAAGAAGGTAGGGGTGCTGGGCTGCAGTGTGGGATGAGGAGGGTGAGCAGACCTGTGTGAGATTCAGGATAGAGAATTTTCAGAAGCTGGTGGTTGATGAAGGAAGGGGAGGAAGAGCAAGGTTTCTGGGTGGATGACTGGGTCAGCGGTGTCCCCGCACTGAGTGCCCCCTCATAGCAGGAGCAGGTTTGGGGAGGGGTGAGTTCAGGCTGGACCTGGTGAGCTTGAGGGTCTTGTGTGCCAGGCTCGTGGAGACATCCACCAGGTGGCTGGCTGCACAGGGTGGAGCTCAGCAGAGAATGAGATGGAAACAGACCTGAGACTCATCTTCGTACAGGGGTGAGGTGAGATCCCCGGGGTGAGTGTAGAGTGAGAAGAGACATAAGCCCGAGGAGCACCTACATTTAAGCTCCTGCTGCGGATAAGGAACCCATGAAGTTGACCACACGATCATCCTCCAATAAATGGTAGGCCAAGGCCAAGGCCATCAGGATACTGGGCTAGAGGGAGAGCAGGAAGTGGGATGGTCTTTTCCATTGCCAAGAGTGTTCACAAGCATGGCCCCTTGGCTTTTCATAGCAGCCATACAGGGTTATGGGGAGGGTAGACTGGCTTCATGGCCTATCGTCAACATATGAGGACAGAGCTCAGACGGTGGGCCTTGTCCAAGGTCACAAAAGGGAATCAAGGTGTGAGTCCCAGAGGTCTCCTACCCATGCCTCAGCCCTTTCCTCCCAGAGACCCTGCTGCTTTCATTGGCTAGAACTCAGGTTTGGGTGTGGCCTTGACAAATGACAGCGACCATATTCCAGATCTAGGTGGCCCCGGAGCTCAACAGAAGCTACCAGGCTCAGTTACTGGCCGAAGCCCCCACGTGGTCTTGAGTTGGAAGGGTCACAGAGCACTGTGAGAGTCACTTCCCTTCTCTGAGTCTCCCCTATCATCACCTTGGTTTTATAGGAATCAAATTTAAAAGTGGAAGCAAAAGGACTTAGTAGGCTCTGTACTCAAGAAGGGAAAAGATAATGAAAAGGTCAAGTATGGGAACGGTAGTGAGGGAGCAGGCTGGAGGAGGAAGTATGGAAAAGATCTGGGTTTGGAGGACAGGGACCAGGTGTTCTGCATGTGGGGAAATTAGAAGGGAAAGACACAGTCCTGGCCTTGGAAGGCTCATGGCCCTCCATGTGTCATCCGTAGCCCCACTGTTTCTCCCATCCTCCACTGCTGTTTTTAGATCTCTTCGCTCCCCTGGTCTCTAACAGTCTCCTTCTCAATCTCTTCACCCAGCCTCCCCTATCAATCTTTCACCTGGCAACCCAGGCCTTCCTGAGACAAATTTGCCCTTGCCTCACTATCCTCTGCAGAGTGAAGGCCATATGTAACCCGGCCCTCTGGCCCTCTCCCACCTTGCTGGCCTTACACTCCCAGTATATGCTGGCTGCTGTATACCTCCGTGCCTCTCTGCATGTGGGCTCCCACGGCCTGAAATGCCCAGCTTTCCCTCCAACCTCCACCCATCTGCAGAAACCTTCTTCATCTCTGCATCACCTCCTCTGTGAAACCTCCCCGAATCTCCCTGTTACCAGAAAGGAGACCTGGCCCTGCCTCGGGCTGGTCTGTAGTTTGTGGGTTCTTGACTTCATGCAGGAAAGATTTCACAGTCCAAGTCCAAGTGACTTTGAGAGTACAGTATGTTTATTAAAGCTGGGGGTGGTGAAACAAGGGAGGGCCTAGGATAGAAGCAGCAACAGGAGAGAGAGCCTAGACTCCCTGGAAACATTATAGGAAAGAAATGAACCTGGTGGGCTGCTTTGCCTCAACTCAGAGGAAAGGTGGCCTAGAGACAGGTTAGGAGTTAGCCTGGGACAAGCTGCTGCTGCCCATTGCTCCTCTGGTTGCAAGTCTCGTGGGTCCCTTAGCGTTTAGGAGATGCATGTCCTGAAGGAAGAAGAGGAAAAAGGGAAAGGTGAAGGTGTGCTCCTGGGAGGAAGAGCCTGTTCTGGGTCCACTGTTTTGAGATTTTTAAAGACTGGGAATTTGGGGGAGGTCTTAGGGGAGGGTTTCAATAGAATATTCATCAGCTTTTCTAGGCAAACCTTTTCGGGATCATGGTTTCTACTGATTGGCCATTAGTCACAGCAGCTGGTCTGGGGTCATCCACCTGGTTTTGCTGCTTTTCTGGGCCTGGCTGAAATACAGCTGCGGCCTAGATGTTACCTCTATCGAGATGACCTTCTGTAACTAGCTGTAAATTACTCGGCCAGTTGGTTCAGCTATCTGTCTCCGTTTCCTCATTCCACTTGTCAAGGAATTTTCCTAGCTTCTTATTGCCCTGCCTCACCCCCAGTAACACCCACTCTTCTGTGCCTCCATGTGCAGACTTGTAAGCAGCTCCCCCTCCCCTGGGCTACAGCTGGGCTGCCTGTCCTTCTGGACCAGGCTGTGGGCTCCCCAAGGCTGTAGCACCCAGTGCAGGGCTGGAAGCCATTTGCTGGTAACCCGGTGGCTGCAGGAAGGCTCACCTGGCCTGGAGACCTAGTTTCCATCTCAGCGGAGTGGGTAGGGGGAGGTTAATATTGGAAACTGACACATCTGATCACATCACTTCTTTTCCCCCAAACTCTCCAAAAGGCCCCGTTGCACTGAGGAAAACCGGGTCCTCGGAATCACGGCCCATTATCCTCTCACCTCACCTTCTTTTTCATTCTGCTCCAGCACCCCATCCCCAAAGCTCCCCTCCCTGGGGCTCCCTGCCCTGCCTCCGTGCGGAATGTTCCTC